TGTGTCTTTTCTTCAGGATGTGTTCTGTATTGACTGAAACTAGCGTTCATTTGGGTCGTCTTAAGGTAACCTTCAAACTAAAAGAAAGAAAGAAACCCTCGTCAAAATCACCAAAGAAAACCACGCCTACATCAATACAGAAAGAAAATACCAGACACTTGAAATCTGTTTCAAGATTTGCCCACACCCACCTAATTAATAACGATAATAAAGACACAGTATTACTTGAGAAACCCAGTCTTTCAAAGAAGTGGGAGAAAGTGGGCACAATTTCCCAGGCTCCTCCCACTGCCCCACCCACTACTGATAAGGCATTACCAGTGTTTGGGGAACGGAGTAAGCAAATGGTTGAGAAGTTACTGGAACGAGCCAAAGCTTTACAAGAAAGTATGATTAGGGAACTTGATAAAGAAAATAATCAAAATAATATAATTGAAAAAGAAGGTAGTGAAGACATTCAAAATGTGGATGAGAAAATGTAAGCATTAATAATAATAATAATAATAATAATAATAATAATAATAATAATAATTGCTTAATTTTTAGTTTTGACAATATTGATTTGACTCTGCCCATAAGTCCAAGCAGTGTAACGAGTTTTGAAGAACACCAAAAGGTCGGACTACTCAAACTAACTCGCGATGAAATAGAGCGAGAGAAAGAGGAGGAGCTTATACTCCTGGAACCACACCCACATGAGTCACATGACCACAAAACAATATCACATGACCCGTTACCAAACCAACAGCTACAGGATCAAGAAATTAAAAATTTGCATCATAAAAAGTTAATGACGAACAAAGACGATCATCACGATACTTCACAGTCACGTGAGGAGAGGTCACATCACTTCACTAAAAGCGGAGGAGAGGGTATCCCTCTGTTGTACCACTTGTTACTGGAGATAGATGAGGGGACATCCCTTTTCCTCTCGTCCCAACCTGATACTCTACCTAACGTTTATTTAGTGTGTAAGTTATACTCCATGAGAGTACCTCTGACCACTGGGGTGAGCTGGAGGACTAGGAAACCACAATTTAATATAAAACAAGTAAATAATAATAATAAATAAATTAATAATAATAATATTAATAAATAAATAATAATAATAAGTAATTCTATATTTTCATTAATGATACTGCTGTAGGTGATACCATTAGTTCTGAGAGACCATTCTCACATTAAAGGACAATACTTTATAATAGAGGTGTGGCATCATCAGAGAATGGACTTACCAGCTGGTGAATTGGAAGACGAAGTAATAATAATACTAATGATGTTATTGTTTATGTTTATTGTTGTTTAGTTGCTAGGGTTGGTAAAGGTTAGTCTGGACATAGCTGGTGATGCTTTGGAGAGTTTAAACAATCAGAACAATGAACTGGATTGTGTGGTAAGGGACTTCACCACTGACTGCCCCGTACATCTAGTCATGTACTGTTTGATGTGTGGGGATTTTAGGGAATTTCTTGTTTTAATATTCTTTATCTTGGAACCATTTTTTGACCAAAGTCCCTGTACTATAGTACAGGGACTTTGGCCCGATT